TCATTTCCTGCATCGCTGTAAAAGCCACCATATTAGGCAACACTGAACGATGCCCTCGGCAGTCCCGACGGGACGCGCGCGCGATAAACCTCTTCCAGTTTCCAGTCACCTCATTTTCCGTGGCCGGTCGGCAATTCGCCCGCTGATTGGCTCTCATCAAGTGGCGAGCCGCCATCTGCCGACTGCGAACATCACCCGCTGTCGGGGCGCGTCTAACGAGGCGACGCCCGGGTGTCGCGGCGGCGGTGACGAAGAACGGCGCACGCGGTGACTGCCGCGCGGCGGGGACGACGCTGGCGGGCGTGGAAGCAGTGGCCATCCGTATGGTAATCACGGCGGTTGCATGCAAAGGGACCCAGTTAGCCGAGCGGCGAGGGACGGCGCAAACGCCAGAATGGCTGATTGCTTCGGAGGCAGCGAGCTGTTGGAGCGCAAATTGCTGTTTATGCCTCTCGTTCGGTGAGGTGAAACCCACGATGAGATGGGCCGATCGGAACAACTGTGACGGAACATGCGCGGGTTGTGTTTAGTGGTTTCAGACCTAGTCGCTCCATGGACTACCGCCGTGCGAAATCGGTACCCTACAGTAGCCCTGTGAGATTGCTTTGATTGGTGAGCCAGTTGTCATTCCCAAAGGACATAACGCTTTGACCAGATTCACCGCTTTTCATAACGCGAGCGGGTTGAGGGAGTGGGCGAGGGGGAGCCGCGAATTTCTTATTTTTCCAAACTAAGAATGACAGGGTCTTTCAAAACATAACGGTGGATTAGTTTCAGTGAGATCCCATGATTGGTTACACATTATGTCCTGATCTGTCAATATTTGATCCCGTTAGGCCAGATCAATAGCAAATTACTCCTGAAATCAAACTATGTTAGCTTTACATGCCGATATATACAAGTGAGATGGTAGCAACATGAAACTTATGCGGTCGTGTTTCCTGTCTAATTTTGAGCGCATTGGTCTACAGCTTTGCGTGATTCAGCAAATGTTGAGGATACACAGTTCCGTACATGAAGCGATGTACTCCCGCCACCCGCCATCGGCGGATTCGTCGCTTCCCGCTCGACGTGTGTGCCGGTGTTCAGATCGCCGTGCAGTGCTCCTAAGAAAACATCCATGTTCTGAAGGAAAAGTGTTCGAGACACGTCCATATGTCAAAACGCGTGCAATGAGTATCCCAGGGGCTTCTGAAAATTTGGGTTTGATTACACGATATTCCAGGGAGATATGCCAGACAATTGTCGTTCATCGACGACTGGGGGTCAAACGCCACATCTGCCTGCTGGAAAGTAGGTTTAAGGCACTCGTGAGTGCTGGTAAGTAAGGGTTTATTGCTCCATCTCCTACTGTAAGTACCAACAATTCTTGTTGCCATCGAATGACACTGCACCGCCCGCCCGCAGCGACCGGCATCTCCAGTGACTATGACATACACCAGCCGGCCGCTAGACATCAAATATGTCAAATATTCAGATAATTGACTGATTTAATTTAGTTCCAGCGTTTAACACAGCATAGTGGATGCTCAACTCACAGTTGGATTCAAGCGCCCTTCTTCAGTACAATTTTGCAATGAGTGAAGTGGATCATGAGTGGATCTGGGAGTAGATCCACTTCCAGAGTAGTTTGTTTGTCCGCCCTTGTTGCAGTGGTGCCGATTATTCCACCGCCACCTGCCATGCCCTGTAGCACTTAAAATTGCACGTCAAGCCTCGCTCTACTAAGGAGAATGGTTCACATTTGAAGCGAGTGAAGCAAACATCAAATATAATGAAACAAGCTCACTTATGCCTAGTTGTTTCCTTTTTAAGTGGAAAAGACTCCTTTAGATAGTACAATTCGCTGTTCGGCGATATGCTCCTCAATGCGTCATGGTTTGATTACGTCATCGTACCCTTTACTACATTGCTTGACAAAAATGGACTGCTGTTTTAGCTGGAAATCGGGCTCACGAACGCCCGATATTGCTGCCTCCACAATTATATTATGCTGGTCTTGATCGCCGCATGGCTTACGCAATGATAGGATTTGAATAACGTTATTATGACGTCATGAATACCTAGGTGACTGAAATGCTCTCCCCGATATACCTTTCCCCATTTCCGTGGAAGCGTTGCTCAGAAATTACAGGGGCTTGAAAAGGGCAGGATTGTTAACAGCACCTAAAGGTTTTCAAGATGGAAACTTCAGTTTGAAACCCCATATGAGGTGGAATATTCTCTTTAAAAGAGCGCATTGAGACTCCGACCGGGTTTCCTACATCGAGACTCCAACCAGGCAAACAAAACACCTGTGTCAAAGATTGTAAGCAATGTCTCCACCCGCCATGGAGCAGTTTCCATGTGTTCCAGACCCATGCGGCTGAGGATTATGACGTAAATATAATGTTCTCACACCGGAGAGGATATGATGACGAGACACCATACAGGGCCATGAACAACACCGAACAGGATAACTAGACATATAAACAATGTATCTTAATTGCTTTTTGAGTTTGCAATCTATTAACACCCAAACTCGTTTTTAATCCCAAACAAGTTTTTGAGGGCCACTGCATGATCATCTACAGCCGGCGCGGGCGGCGGGCGGTAACCGCCGACGCCGCGGAGCCCGCGCGACGAGCCGCTATTGTTACATTAGCGGAGCCATATGTCATCAATGGATGCTTAAAACACGTTTTGCTAGGCACCATTGTACTCATAATTTTACTATGAACACGTCTGTGTCGACTGAGTGTCACCACGAAGAAACGCCGCGTATGTATGATGTTACTTAGCTGGAAAGTACGATTTTCTGAAAAAAAATTATTATCCTCGACCTGGCATAATGGGGTGAATTACTGACATAACAACAACGTAAAATGAATTTCAATCATGTGATTCCGTTGATACCAATTCACTGGTGTTTTCTGCTGAGATCTATCTTTATTAGTTTAGAAACGCCACGTGGGCACATCGAGCCCAGCCCTCTCCCCATCTGTCCGCGTTATGAAAACAACGATACAGAGCAAGGGTTAAACAAAAACGCAACACCAAAAAGCATTTTGTGGCTGATTTTCAAATGGAGTTTTTTACTGGAATCGCCAAACGCCCGACACTGGGGTGGCAACTTCGTTTTTGTTATATACTTCGGTGGTTTCGGATGAGAGAAACGCTCCCGCGATGTTTTGTCGTTACAGCTCACGTAACGGCGGTCTCCGGCAAGTGTAAACGATTTAACGCCGTGCCAAGCTGCATTTCAGGATGCGTAAGATCGCCGTTGACAACGTGCCTGGTGTGCCAGCGCTAACACACTGGGCCAAAACGATAGGCGACTGTCATTTTGCACAAATGATATGCAACACGCCATTTGACCCCCATTTGCTACTGTCATTTGACACACCCCATTTCATACTGCCATTTGATACGTACTGCGGGTGAGTCTAGGTACCAGGATCCTTGCGCTGCGAGACAGTCTAATCGTCAGGTTCTCGTTTGCGGTTTCGGGCATGACGATCACACTGAAGCTACGCCGAATCTGGTTGGGAGCACCTGGGCTCCACGTGCTACATTCCCTAGTAATCCGTGGAGTTCACGTGCTATATGTGCAATCTTTCCAAATCCAGAGTACACAGTCTTTGCTGCGGGGCGGCCTAAGTGGTGCTTCTTGTTTACGCCTTTGGACATTACGTATCACATGGTCAGTGTACCGAACTTAGTTGGTAGCACTTGGGCTCCACGTGCTACACTTCCTAGTAATTCATGTGGTTTATGTGTTGCATGTGCAGGCTTTCAAAACGCGATGCATGCATTTTGTTCTGAGGGACTTCACACTGTGCCCTATTTCAGTGTCTGTAAGTAGCATTTTTCCATTTTCTCGCCAAACGAGCAGAACCCCGTAGCGTGCAAGACCAAATTGCATCTGCGCGATTCACTGATAATTTTCCGACTGTATAGCTGTGAGATGCGGACTTTCCTGAGCCGATGGTAGGATGGGGTCGTGAGATCCAGTAGACATGAAGTCATAGCCGATAGTAGGCTGGGGTCGTGAGATCGAGTAGATATGTAGTCACAGCCGATGGTAGCGTGATAGTGTTCCCCCTGAAATGGAGAATGCTTAGTATGGAATGAAGTGGGCCAATGCTCAGAACCTAGTGTTGGTCCAATAGTGTTGGTCTGAGACAACACTAGATTCAATATCATTTGCCTCAACATCTCAGAACATCCGGGCCATCGAAACAACAAAAAATGTTGCCCAAATAACCACAAATGTTTGACTTAACACTGCCAAATACGTTCCTAGTTCAAAATGAATTTTTTTTTCAAACAGACATCACTCTGCAAGTTTCCTATTAACGTCGTCAGAGGAACCTGGGTAAGTGACAGAGAACCCACTCTCAGTCTGGGGCGATGTCTGATAATGGTAATTTTGTGAAAGTCGTGCTTTCAGATGGGGTTATTCATCTAGCCGTAAACGTGAAAGCACAACGCTAACCATCGACGCTGGCCATCTGAGAAATCATCAAGCAAAGGTCTATTTTCTTCGTTGGTAAGTGTCATTGATATTGCCCACCAGATTTGCATCATGGCTGTCCAAAGTCCAGGATGTGTACTTAATGAGCAGAAGTGCTGGACAGACCATAATTCTGGCAGAGGAGCTTCCGAGAATACAAATTGGATAAATCAGTGCAAACATTAAACGAGCTACGTGTACTCCCGGCACTGATGCAGTGCATGTTGGTGAAGTCAGGGCACGATAAATATGTGAGCGCAGGCCATGTGCAGTGCAGATTATGACCTTCTCTCCTCTTCTGCTTCATTTCTCAACCATGTTTTTCTCGACGCCGTCACACCCATATGCAGGTCTATACCCCGCCGCTACTTTCGCCGCCGTGACGCTGCTGGCTCCGTCGACACCTTGCCGGCACCGGGGGCCGGTCGGCGACCCCGTCGGCGCCGGCGTCGGAACCGACGAGCCCGTCGTCGCCGGCGACGGCCGGCCAGTCGGCGGCGGCGGCGCTTCGGCGACGGTGCGACGTGTGGTCCGTCGGAGTGGTGGGGACCGCTCGTGGAGCCGCCCGGGGCCGCGAAGGACCGCTGGTGGAGCCGCTCGAGGCCGCGAAGGACCGCTGGAGGCGCTAGCGACCGCTCGGGGGCGCGGTATACCGCTCAGGCCTCGAAGGACCTCTTGCGGGGACGCTGACGGCGTGGACGAGAGCCTTAACCTCGGTCCTCGGCGGGGTCGCTGCAGGAAAGGTGTCGGGGTGGTCGGCGAGTCAGTCTGATCAGGTCAGGTCAGGTCAGGATACTGACAGCCGGTGTTGTCTGCAGCGGAAGACCACGGGATGTGTGTTGTCATCGGCTGCGACGGTCCACGAAGGGAGTGAAAGTGAGTTCATGTGTTCGTGCTGTGTTGAAAGTTCACGTGTTCGTGCTGTATTGAATGCTGAACTGGTTTAGTCGTGAATAAAACAGAGAGATAAAAAGAAGAAATATTTAACAGACGTGCGGACATATCCAGTGCCAAGAAAAGACAGCAATTAATCATATTCTTATACGGATTTCGCTTAACTGCACGGAGGAGTCAGTTTGACTTCCGGCTGGAATCCAGCATAAATTTCGCCGATTTAATCATTTGAGGGCTCACACTGATCGCTGCGGGAGGGTAAGCTCTCATCTGCTCCAGATCGGTCCGAAGAAAGATGATCAGTTTCATAAATGCACCATTTGTTTGCTCCAAAAGTGAAGTGAAAGATAGCGCACACAGCAGCGGAAAAGTGAGAAAGACAAAACTGTGTTGTGGCAAGCAAGTGAATTTGAACACACTTGTATAAAAGAGTGAATTGCATCATACGCGTGGAGTAGCGCACTATGATGGCTGCCACCTGACCAGAGTGCGGATTACGAGCCTTCGCATCGCTGGCGTTCCTCTGGACGCGATGCAGATCAAACGTCAGCCACCCCTTCCCGTGAAGGCTTGAATAAACTAAATTAATAAACGTGAATAGAATTAGTGGTCTTTTGGCGTCTGTTAGATGGGTCAATGGAACCGGTGGAGGACTGGTGCGAGCTGACTTGGTGACCCTCGGGGAGCGGGGCATTCTGTTAACTAGTCTAGACGTGCAAAATAGATCAACCGACCACAGTATCTCTTCAATGATTTGGTGACACCTTTTATTTAGGGAAAAAGTTGGTGAAATTTGCATGCTGCCTATATCTTTTTTAGCAGCGTAGGGGCACACAGGAAGTAAAAATTCGCCCGGTAAGGGCTTTCCTGTTGGTCCTAAAAATATATATGAACCATCAATAAAGGTGTTATCAATGTCAGAAGCAAGTCTCATATGTCAGAAATAGCGTACGAGATGACAGAAAAAACGATCAGAATTAGAGAAATTCGTCCATTTTATGCGCTATGTTTTGCATGAAATCGATGAACGAGGCCGATTCGGCTCTTTCACTGGAGTTGTTTCCGAAAGGACCAATTTGTACTGAAAGGTCCCGCGAAAATCTGGAGAAGCCTGTACGCTATATACGTTGGTATGGTAATGGAGTTTGTAAAAAAACATGAGGGGACAAGTCGCTACTCGAGCTCATATAGTCTAGTATATCGATGATTGTCATAGTTTAAAGATCACGAACGAACGTTCTTGAAACAAATGGAGAGAACCAGGGGCCATTCGTTGCTTAGCTACTGGAATTTGCTTGCGTAAGTCGTACGGTGTTGCATCTAATTGTTTGTGAGATTGTCATACATTTGCTCACTGAAATCTGTTCTGAGATGTGGAAAACAGGTTGCAATTTGTATTGGCGAGGTTACCTGACTGCTACTGCAGCCAGACATCCCGCACGAATACGGCCATCTGCTGTGGGTCCCTTCGGCCAGGTGCTGTGGGTCTCTCCGGCCAGGTGCTGTGGATACCTCCGGCCAGGTGCTGTGGATACCTCCGGCCAGGTGCTGTGGGTCTCTCTGGCCAGGTGCTGTGGATACCTCCGGCCAGGTGCTGTGGGTCTCTCCGGCCAGGTGCTGTGGGTCCCTCCGGCCAGGTGCTGTGGATACCTCCGGCCAGGTGCTGTTGGTCTCTCTGGCCAGGTGCTGTGGATACCTCCGGCCAGGTGCTGTGGATACCTCCGGCCAGGTGCTGTGGGTCTCTCTGGCCAGGTGCTGTGGATACCTCCGGCCAGGTGCTGTGGGTCTCTCTGGCCCGGTGCTGTGGATACCTCCGGCCAGGTGCTGTGGGTCCCTCCGGCCAGGTGCTGTGGGTCTCTCCGGCCAGGTGCTGTGGATACCTCCGGCCAGGTGCTGTTGGTCTCTCCGGTCAGGTGCTATGGGTCCCTCCGGCCAGGTGATGTGGGTCTCTCCGTCCAAATGAGCTGATTGCATGCTTGCTTCCAGATGCGACTTTCGGCTGCACTGGAATGGAGCCTGCTGCTGTTCTTCCTTGGAACAACATTCGTCGACGGAAAGGCAGGTCAACCCTTTCAAACGTGCCACTCTGATCGACGCAGTGTATTTTAAGCACACAACATTGAGGCGGCCGCATCCTTGGGTTGTTTTGTCAGTTTTGCAATTTAGTCCACTGGGCTAAGGTTTATTTCAGCGTTGTGTGACGTGCAACGTCCGAGAGCGATGCAAAATAATACAGGAAATACTTTATGTTTCGTAGACCACTCAATGCGTACTGAAAGCGTGCACACGTGCAGCATATAATCACAAATGGCGTTAAATCTCTACATAGGTTATCCCGCTTAGAACTGCTTTGACGATTGACATTAGACGGATGTGCGACGACACAATCAAATAACTGTCATACGTATGCAAAGGAAGTGCAAACTTTCCCTCCGCAAAGTTCCAAATCACAATGGTGAAGTCCAGGAATTCACAAAAGCGTCAGGTCCAAACTTTCTGAGTTTCGTTTTGGGTCATCATCAGGAGTGCCCGGTTGTCCTGGACGTTGGCCTAACACAAGAACGAATTCATTTCAAGGCGAGGTTATGACGATCACAAGAAGTTCTGGCAATTATCAGTGATTGTGACGATCATCAGAACCTGCAACCTAACTTGACCTAACCGAACCTAACCTAACCTAACCTAACCTAACCTAACCTAACCTAACCTAACCTAACCTAACCTAACCTAACCTAACCTAACCTAACCTAACCTAACCTAACCTAACCTAACCTAACCTAACCTAACCTTGCCCAACCTAACCTAACCTAACCTAACCTAACCTAACCTAACCTAACCAAACCTAACCTAACCTAACCTAACCTAACCTAACCTAACCTAGCCTAACCTAACCTAACCTAACCTAACTTAACCTAACTTAACCTAACTTATGACATCATAGGCATCCTCATCAGAAGCGATTAAACATTCCAGACGTCAATAAAAGCGCTTTCCAATCTAATCCATTGGATCGGTTCTTGTGATCCCAAAAACGATATTATGGCGTGTTGAAGCATACATACCCAGCACTTTAGATATCGGGAGTTACTTTTGTCCCAAGCGTGACGTTGAACCGAGCAAGCGTTCCACATGAGACAAACATGGCACAGAGCTAATTATGACTCCTGAATGTTCACGTCTGTTGTCCTAAGCTACAGTGATTCTCATCACCTGTCCACATTCCGTTTGGTTCCGTTTGGAAGATCATGTTTCGTTCGGAACAAGCGTTCCCATTTACCGATTTGAGCGTTTGATAACAAGTTGTGCGCCCTTTCATAGGCGGCACGTATGAAAGGCCCTGGTGTGACCACATTTCCATCCGCTGTATCCGTGTTGACGCTATTAAGTTTCCCGGTTATTGCATTGTGCCTGTGGGTGTGAGTTTAGATGACATTGTATATGTCGTCTATGTGCGAAAACTACGAAGCCTGTAAATGAGCGGCATAGCGGTGTCAGTTTGGCTGCGTCCAGGTCTAGCGTTGTCCGTTTGTATCTCCAATCCGGTTGTCGTGACCTTAGTCGGAGTGACACGACCAGACGAGACCTTTCCAATAAGTGGTCGAGTAAATAATGTATCTTTGTAGTTCCTCGGGCAAACACTTAGAATTCAGCAGAGTTACTGCAGGTCATTTGGGGAAGTGTGCAAGATGTTCCACTTCTAGCGAACTGCTATATCATGCACATCACAAGGCCTCTGCTCAATTCAACGTCACCACAACACTGTGTGATCAATTATGCCAGCTCTCCGTAGTCGTCACATCACATCTCAGTGTCAGGAGGGCGTCTGCGACCTGACCTGACCTGACCTGACCTGACCTGATCTCACCCGCAGACGGTGTGTCAGTTCCCGTGCCCGGCCTGTCCGGAGGAGGTACGGTGTCAGGAGGGCGTCAGCCTCATCCTGGACGGGTGTCGATGCTGCCCCATCTGCTCCCGCCAACACGGGCAACGCTGCGACACCGTCCAGCTCTGTGACGTCACCAAACAGCTGGTCTGTGATGTCGCCGGCATCTGCCGAGGTTAGTTTCGAGAAGTACAAGGCAGGCCCTCGACTGCTGGAGTTCTTTAACAATGATTTTCCGAAAAAGTGCGTGTGCCCGTGCCCATCACGCTCCTTGTCCTCCGCTGAAAGGCTAAAAGATACGCTTCACCAAGTCAAGTCAAGTACGCAGTAAAACTACATACCTGATAATGCCACATGATAATCCTGGTCACTGACGATCCGCAGTGTGAGCAGGAAGAACTTTGTCATCATCTTGTAGCATGCGGAGAATGCGAACAAACGTGAGTAGCACACTTAGGCCACACTTTGAAATCTTACAACACACGACCATGTCTCCCGCAGCTGGCGGCTGATGTTCTCAGATGTGTATTGTTTTGTTGTCAGGGAGCGGCGGATTTAGAGAGTGTGTGCGTACCTGATGTTCTCAGATGTGTATTGTTTTGCTGTCAGGGAGCTGCGGACTTAGAGAGTGTGTGCGTACCTGATGTTCTCAGATGTGTATTGTTTTGTTGTCAGGGAGCTGCGGACTGAGGGAGTGTGTGCGTACCTGATGCTCAGGGAGCTGAGGCTTAGAAAGTGTGTGCGTACCTGATGCATCCCGCGTCACGAAACGTGCACGACAGCGCACAACCAGGGACTACAGTGTGCAGCGTTTGTGACGTCACATTTCTCACATGATAAACACCCCATCTATAGTTTACCTCAATGGTCAGGTGGAATTACAAGGCGCGTCCTCCACAAGAGGACCTGATGGACTCCGCAATAGATTTGCCGGTATTAGGTCGATCTAACTAACCATCTGTCGGATGACCTTACAAATCGCGCTGAGGTTATCTCACGCTGCCAAGCCTTTCTGACAACTCTGCTTCGATCGAGGCAACGGTTCGACGACTACGCAGAGACTTCACATTTTAGCCAGGTGACATAATCTGGTGCCTTCAGATGTATGCAAATTAATCAATGATCACAAGTACACGAACAGACAGTACATTTTTCAAGTTAAAATGACGTGAAGGAATCGTTCACCGGCATCATTTGGTACTCTATCCAGGCAAGAAGGGTCATGGACTATTGTTTGTTTTGGCACTAGGAGCTCTTAGTTATTATGCTGGCGGTTATAGACCTTCAATACAACAGGAGATACGGGTTAACTCGGCATTGATGCCGTTCCCCAGCGGTACACAATTGACTGCACGAGGCATATTTCACCCCTGCCCCTGCTTTGTCTAGTTTTGTCCATTGATTTACATTATATTTGAACCATCTAAACGCGAAGTGGAAGAACTTAGCCACAAATGTAAGCATTAGACACGTGAGCAAGAGTTGATTCTTGTTCATAAACTGTAAAAGGTTTACTCAAATCTACGACTTCGGTGGTGAATAAGCGATTGGATCGATGTTTCGCGTTGTTTTCGACGATTCAGTCCTGCCGACAGCGCAACCTGACACCCTTCCACCCGGCCGCCAGTCACATGGTGGTCGGTTTGCGCGTAAATGTGATAAACGGCTTCCGCCACCCCGTCACCGCGCCGCTGCGACAGACTGGAGCGCCGCCGCCTGGCCGTCGTGGGCCCCAGCCCACCTGGGCGCGGGCAACATGCTCTGCGATACATTTTAAGTTTGGTAATTGTACCAGATATTTGCTTGAAACTCAGTAAACGCATCCTTCGTAGTCGTATCTAGGGCACCTTGTGTTATGTTTTCACAATTTTGAGCCTTATGCTAGCAATGTTTTACTTTTGTGTGTGTTCTTTTTCCTCAATATTCTTATACCATGAAATAGTTTTGTGTTTTTAATCACTTATGGTATTTGACATGTCAGTATTTCAACGTGTGATATTGAAACCACACCACGAGATGGCCTATGAATGGTAAACATATTGGTTGACATTTCCGTTTACAGATATAAAATTTGTTTTCGTCTTCTGCGTCATTTGTCCACGGCCACACATTTGTAAAAAGGCAAATATGACGTCGCTCTGACGTCTGTCACACTCGATCTATAATTGCCTTATAGTTGTTTTGGCACAAGGCGCAACACTCATTAAGTGACCGCTACTTAAAATTTCGCAGCGATATCTCGAGGGATTTTGAATTATCGCGAATGTTGGACAAGGGGCAGACTTTTTAATCACCGGTCATATGCTGGGTTTAATGATGTTATCAAACACACCTTGGCCGCATTTGCAACGTAAGCTGCGGATATAATCCAGAGCTGGCAAATTAAACGGCAAAATGCATTTAAAACTCAATGCACGCACATCACGAAAATGCGCCGAATCTGTGCAGACCCTACCACTAAAGAGACATCAAGGCGACCATATCCTACCACCCCACACACGGCTCAGCGTTAAGGGTTGCGCGAAGGCTAAGTAGACAAATGGATTGCTGGATGCAATACAAAATGCAAGTAATAAATACCAAGGAATTGTGGATAAGGGATAGGGGGATGAGGATAATGCTGGATGAGTTATTGGATATACCTCCTGCTATAATGAATGTTAATAACTCAGCATGAGAAGTATGAACTTATGACACGATGTTATTAACGTATCATAAAATTAGCACCAGCTTGTACATGAACATTTAAAGGGGAACCGCATAACAGCCGAAAATGTTCTAAATATTCACTCAATTTTTTTGGCATTTGATATTCACTACATTTACGTGTATGTCAATGCACTTGACATTCACATATTCAGGTGTTCTTTTCTTTTTCAAGTACACTGTGACACCTGCTTTGAGCATATTTGGGGCTAAGCCCGACAGAGAATGTGTTGATAGGACAAATACGAAAATTCGGATACACTCGCTGTTCTCCAAACTTGTGGTATGTGTATGTGCTTGGACTGCAGAGCCTTAAAAAAATATAATGTAACCTATTTCCGACACGGCTTTGGTCACCATACCTTATGCTACGCAAGTCGTACCCACTTAATTGCTGAATGAATCCTAGTCACGCAACCGACAAAATGCTAGATTTTCCATCGACTTTCCCATAATTGTTCTGGGTAAGTGCTTTTGTCGGGAGGAGCAGAAACACTTTATATCGGACCATGCGCTTTATAAAAGGATGTTAACAAAAAATGAACGTGAATATGGACATCGCTGCGTTTTGATTAACACGAAAATAGCCTCGTATTCCAGTTACGCTACATAATAATTCATAATAGACAGGCCATTTTTACTTCACGGTTGTTCACGCAAATTTGCTTTGGGAAGGTCTGTTTGTTGTTTGCTGCATATTTGTGACTTCACTAACAGCCGGGAGATTTTTCCTATTCTCAAAAGAAAAGCACAACCATCCGTTCCGCACTGCAGCTAAAGACCTGTCCGCGACGTACTCACGAGCTGGAATTCCGGCGACTGATGAGGTTAGCCTAAACAAACAGCCGTTTGCTTGGCTCACCGCACGTACTACCAAAACCTACACGTACGTAGCCAGGAGCCCGGCGAGGCCGTTCAAGCCGCCACAGTGACACACGAGCGCGACTTAGCCGCTGGCTCGAGTGGTCTCCCAGAGGTCACCGGCCATCGCGCGTCCCTAGCGCGCCGTTCGCTGCCGCTCGACAGGCCGTAACTTCAGCAGCTGTCTGGTGAACGGCACCTCGTTCCACGATGGCCAGACGTTCCTGCTCGACTGTCGTACCCAGTGCACCTGCCAGGTGAGTGTTGCGACCAGAGGCGTCACTGGTGGGCTCGTCGGGGCGAAGCGGCCCTCCCCTGGGGCCTCTCTCGGGCCCCGACCACAGCCGTGGTGGCTTAAGTGGGGCGGAGCGCTCCCTCCCCTGGGGCCTCCCTCGGGCCCCGACCACAGCCGTAATCCCATCAGTTCGACGTTTAGCCACCAAGTCACTGACTTGGCACCCGAGTCAAACTCCCGTGACGCCCCTGTCCGGACGTCGCATTAGGCGCAAGCTCAAAGGAGCAGTCACGCACCAACGTAAGCCTGACGAGTTGCAGGTGGATGAGTTGGGTTTGGTCGTCGGTGCACGATCTCTAGCGGCTAATCCATTCACTTCCTCACGACCAATGTTGTGTGGCGCTGCTTTGTGATATAGCTGATCATTTTGACTCACTGTGGTTTTGACAGAATGCTGGATGGTTGTATGTACCTCGCCTGCACGCCTGATCATCACAACCTGCAATTATTTCGGATGGTTGTATGTACCTCGCCTGCACGCCTGATCATCACAACCTGCAATTATTTCGGAAAATATCGCTGATACATCTTGAACTCACCCTGGGTGTTAAAATCTAATCGTCTTCCGTGCCATACTAATCTTGGTAAGGTTTCTGCAAAATTCTGCGAAGGGAACCAAGATAACTGCTGTTAAGGGCGTCTTCCACCAAGTTGCCCAAACTGTCAGCGCTGTTCGGCGCACTGTAACGTGAGGAAGATGACAGACATGCAAGGGCGGCGCAGTCACGAGGCCAGACTCGGCCGACAAACCGTCACGCGATCTGACTGCGGCTTCGGCCGCGCTGGGCTTCACACTGATGTGATTTATCTGTCACGCGAGGCGTCAGCGCGTGAGAGGGACCTGTCGAGAGCTACCGACCACAGACGTGTTCACGGGTGCAAAGAAAACAGGCGATGCAGTTGATTTGATGGTTTGCCTTCTTGACTTTTGGGTTTTTTTATTCTCAACGTTTCTTCGACATCGTCATTTGTCTTTTGCTTGATTCTTTTCAACTATTTTCCAGCGAAGTAGCATCTATAAGGACGTTGGTTGTGCCGTGGCACTGTGCTGCGCTATCTGTTTGGTTACACCGTGGTACTGTGCCGCGCTACCTGTTTGGTTACACTGTCACACTGTGCTGCGCTATCTGTTTGGTTACACCGTCGCACTGTGCTGCGTGATCTGTTTGGTTACACCGTGGCACTGTGCTGCGCTATCTGTTTGGTTACACCGTTACACTGTGCTGCGCTTTCTGTTTGGTCACATCGTTGCACTGTGCTGCGCTATCTGTTTGGTTACACAGCGGTACTGTGCTGCGCTATCTGTTTGGTTACACCGTTACACTGTGCTACGCGATCTGCTCGGTCACACCGTGGCACTGTGCAGCGCGATCGTTTTTGCTCGACTAAGGCAAAGCTCTGAATAAAACCGGCTGCATCTTGCGCCGTCTTCAGATTATGTCTTCAGATTATGCAGGCGTTGGGTACTGGTGATTACTCCTTGATACGAAACTATTCTGCCAATCATCCTGAGCCCTGTGTTTCTACGTTGGGAGCCCCAAGATCAACGGTCACAGAAGTGGATTTCTCCAATAATTGAAAGTGGAGTTACGGTTATTGAAAAGCTTTGGTGGCGTGTGAGTTCGAGTGGTCGCTCGGCCTCACCTACTTCGGGTGTCGGGGTGCCAAGTCTAGACCCAGAGATCGAACAGGCGGTTGTCATTTTTGCAATGGAAATCCTTAAGCAGAATGCTACTACGTTCAAAAGGAAACCAATGGAGTGTTCAGCCAGACCGCATAATTTTTCCACCTCCTCAACTTGGTAGGGTACTCTGCCATAGTCTCAGAGCATACAGCCGAGGATATTACAGAGTTTTTCACGTGACGTCATATGTGCATCCTTGACTGCACATGTGCATCACGAACGTCGTTATGCCCAGCTCTCGCCAAAGTTCAGTCCTTTGCAGCATCAGGGCGCCCGTCAGCCGCAGACACCCTAGCGCGCACCTGGTACAGCCTTGTGTCAGCCCATAGTCCATTTTCGTTTTTCTCTAACATTATCCTAATTCAAAATCGAATTCCTCTTTCACGAACAAATGCCGACAGGAAACTGACGTCCACTGGCAAGCGCGGCTGTGGAGTCCGAGTCCAGATACTGGGCGGAAGAGTCAGGGCGATCGCAGCGCAGCCTCCCACGCGCGCGTCCTGCGGCGTTGCAGGGTGCGGGGCCAGGGTCGGGGTGGCCGCAGCGCAGCCTCTCACGCGCGCGTCCTGCGGCGTTGCAGGGTGCAGGGCCAGGGTCGGGGTGGCCGCAGCGCAGCCTCTCACGCGCGCGTCCTGCGGCGTTGCAGGGTGCAGGGCCAGGGTCGGGGTGGCCGCAGCGCAGCCTCTCACACGCGCGTCCTGCGGCGTTGCAGGGTGCGGGGCCAGGGTCGGGGTGGCCGCAGCGCAGCCTCTCGCGCGCGCGTCCTGCGGCGTTGCAGGGTGCGGGGCCAGGGTCGGGGTGGCCGCAGCGCAGCCTCTCACGCGCGCGTCCTGCGGCGTTGCAGGACGGCAGTTACGCGTGCACCTCGCTCTGCCCGCACGAGATGATCCGGCCGTCCCGGCGCTGCAAGAACCCAACGCTGGCCGAAGTCAAGGGCGAGTGCTGCCGCCAGTGGATGTGTGCTGACGGTAGGCCGATGTGTGCTGACGGTAGCCCAATGTGTGCTGACGGTGGGCCGAAGTGTGCTGACGGTGGGCCGACGTGTGCTGACGATAGGCCGATGTGTGCTGGCGGTAGGCCGATGTGTGCTGGCGGTAGGCGATGTGTGCTGATGGTAGACGATGTGTGCTGACGGTAGGCCGATGTGTGCTGACGGTAGACGATGTGTACTGGCGGTAGGCCGATGTGTGCTGACGGTAGGCGATGTGTGCTGACGGTAGGCCGATGCGTGCTGACGATAGGCCGATGTGTGCTGACGGTAGGCGATGTGTGCTGACGATAGGCCAATGTGTGCTGACGGTAGGCCAGTGTGTGCTGACGGTGGGCCGAGCAGCGGGTACTTGGCTCCTGCTCCCGCGTCAGGGAGGGGCGGTTTTGAAATGTATGCACGGTATGCTACGTGTTCCTCTGGGAAATGGACATTGTTGATGTGGTCTTTATCATCATCCAGCTGATCCCATTACCTTGTTCGTTTTTACTTAATAACTCCCAAGATACCTTTGAATCAGCCTCGCCAAGGTCATATGTACGGCAGTTGGTTGGGGTATTAGGTATTGCACATGCAGTAGTCGCTACTGTCTTTTACTACATTATGTCCTGCGATGCTTACCCAATACCTTCAGCATTACTTTAATCAGCCTCACGTAACTTATTGCGTGCTTCGTTCGTTTTGACAGCGCACTACAACAGCTTCCCAGTTGCAACGCTTGCCTCTCAGCGTGTTAATGTCTGTCCCTTCTTAAGTCTGACATCGGAAATTGTAAACGCCACTGCGTGGCATGATCAGTAGAACGTCAGGGCTGTGAGGAGTTCGCAACTCATTGTTATCAGCCGAATATCCCCCTAAATGCACCTTGACTTTCTAAATGCTTCCTAATTGCTCCTTTATAGCCTATTGTCAATGTACAGCCGATTTCTGATTCCGCAATCTGCATCCCTACAATTTATTTCGGCCCCCTCCCTCACCGCTCTCCCTCCCCAAACATAAAGAGCTGTCAACACCAGTTGTCGGCAGACTTCACACGCTTCACTTCACATTGAAAGACTGATTGGGTAGAGGTCGTTAGCCATCGTTAGAGGCTATCGGTAAAGGTCATTGTTAGAGGTCAACTTTATAGGTCATCGTTAGAAGCCATCTTTAAATGCCATCGTTAGAGGTTTAAATTTGGAGCTCACGCTGGGTGATCAGTGTTTATGAATCTCGTTGGTTAAGCTAGTTCTTCTTCTCGCCACACTCCCCATGGCTCACCTTCACCGTACCGTGATATGACGTGCAGCAACGTCACATCCGCGACCCGTTACAGAGGCGCCGGTGACCGCGCCTCCGTGCGAACCGCTCACCTCTGATTGGTCGCCGTGTTCGGCCACGTGCGGAGGGGGAGTGTCCACGCGGATCTCCAACAAGAACACGGACTGCACATTGGTGAAGGAGACCCGCCTGTGCCAGATCAGAGAGTGTCCACTGCCAGACGACACCTCGTGGAGCCAGCCCCTGTACCGCATGATGCAGCAAGACGACAGGGTGAGCCGAGCCAACCGCTTCTTAAGGGGCATGCTGAACAGTTAAAGATATTGAAACAAGCATGAGGTGTGTTCAAAAAAGCTCATTTACAGCTACTGGTGCTCTTTTCAGCGGAAAAGCTGCCTTAGACAAAACCATGTTTCTGTTTAGTAAATATAGTCTTCAATGCGTCATTGTTCGATTATGTCATCGCACCTTGCATATCATTGATTGCGAACCAACTGAGGGACTTTACATCTGGAAATCGTGCGCAAGAACGCCAGATATGAACGACGTGGCAATCATGCTTTCTTGGTTCTGGCCACCACATGGCTAATGGAATGGCTAGACTTGAGGGACGTTATTATAGCGTTATGGATGCTTGGGTAACCTAGAAATATTCTACCAGGGATAATCTGCACATCTGAACAGGCCTGTTAAGTGCGCTAAATGATTTCTAAGATTACTATTTCAGTTCAAAATCCATACATGGAACAAGCTGTATGTCACTTTGTGAAAATTAGCATGACATGACGCTTAAAGTCATGCATATCAAACAAACGTCGTAAATTTGCTCGCTGTACTCGGATCACTGTCGGATATGCCAATGTGAGAAATGGGTGTTCTAAGTAACCTTGAGCGTATCCAGACAGGGAAGTTGCTGTAATGAAACATCGAAGTACGAAGGTGCATTGCTGTTAATCTCGGAGACACGGGGCCAAAGTTACGTAAGGCTTTACGTGTAATTGTGAGGAACATAGGACATATCGATAAGACGGGTCTGTTAGCATTCTTCCTGGTGGAATAATTAGGAGAAACAGGAGAAAGATGCCTTAAACGTGAGAGTGTCGGCTGCCTAGCGACAGCACACGCTCGAGTAGACGTGCTCTCTCTCTCTCTCTCTCTCTCTCTCTCTCTCTCTCTCTTCTCTTCATCCTCTCTCTCTCTCTCTCTCTCTCCTCTCTCTCTCTCTACTCTCTCTCTTCCGCTCTCTCTCTCTCTCTCTCTCTCCTCTCCTCTCTCCTCTCGCTCCTCTCTCTCTCTCTCTCTGCTCTTCTCTCTCTCTCTCTCTCTCTCTCTCTTTCTCTCTCTCTGTCGTTTCTCCTCATCATTTGACGAGGAATACGGCGACAATTACTTTCTCATCTACATTACGCATATGATACTCTTATCCGTACTCTGTCCTTCCGCCAAGTGTGACCAAACTGTATACCTCCTGAACGCTAACGTGAGTGACGGCTGCCGATGACCAGCATCCCTGCCAATCTCACAGGTGTGCCACCCGACCCAGCGAGCCCCCATGCCGGTCCACCTCCGCTGGTCCAACTGTACCTCCGTGCACCGCTACCGACCGCGCTTCTGCACCGCCTGCCGGCGCCGGTGCTGCCGCCCGATGGCGACCTCCACGACGCCACTGCCGTTCCGCTGCGACCTTGACCGGCCAGCTGGGGTCAGCGATCACCTGTGGCGCCTTGGGGGTGGGGCGACGGCGCCGGCGACCCGCAGTGCTCATCACGAGGTCGCCGTCCAGCCGGTAATGTGGGTGAAGGAATGCGTTTGCGATCCATGCGAGAAAGAGCAAATAGGAGATAACGGGAATGGGAGCGAGAGCAACGGCGGCGAAGAGCAGGATGGCTGGTTTAGTCAGCGGGAGGGCGTGAAGGCGTCTCATTTGGCGGCTGGGGGCATTCATGGAGATGAGCCTTTGTAGTGCGGAAACGCCACCGGTTATCTTGCCCGCACTTGACCTTGGAAAGAGTCTCACTGTTTATAATCATGCTATATCTCACCTGAAGCTGTTGTCACCATTAAAAGTCGACTGTGAGAGAACTGCTGTCTGTTAGTCCGCGGTCCCTGCCATTGCATGCGACAGCATGCGGCGCGGTGGGTGTTTCTGCATGAAAACGTATACAGTGAATTCATGAGATGCGTGAAAACCCGTCACTGTTCTTCAAGTATTGCAAGCTCGTAATGGACTCTGGAGAAAATGCCCGCCATTTTAATAAACTAGCATTATAATCGTTTTGTATCGAACAAGTTTGATAATCCTTGACTACGCCAACGGCCGTTATAGCGGCATTGAAGTGCATACAGTACTGAAAACGTTTCGGTGATATTATACGCCTTTTTTGGCATGCGGACAGCCTGACGTTGATCCACCTTCTCTGACTTTACCATTAGGTCTCGTAATGAAAAACTGCGTCCGTGCGGGGACTGCAAGAGTCCTGAATGAGTACATGAATTAGGCCTGTGAAGCAACAGAGTCGCTGCGTAAACCAGCAGGTATTTCACGGCTGAGCAGAGTAAATGTGCCGCCAATTAGAGTTACGGTGCTGCCAGTCAAAGTTACTGTCACGATGCGACAAGCCAGGCACTGCACGGCGATATATGGCACATATCGGAGGTTGTCAATCCTTGAGCGACCCCACTGCGGTACCGAAACCGTTAGCACGAAGTGGCTGATGGAGAGCTCAGAAAATGAGCCCGGAAATGTCAGCAGACTGTGCGCAGACACAGCGGGACTCAGGTTGCTTCAGTGGATATAAATTTAGAGGTTCTGGATTTATTTTCTGAACCATCCGGTTTGCCAGTTTGGGAAACCTCTGGCATTCAAGGAGCGTGTGGGCCCGAACAATGCCCTTTTGTTCCAGACTCTTTGTCGCAAATTGCTTCAGTAATGGAATCGTCAAGTCACATTTACTTGAAGCTTAAATCCGGTCCTCCATGATAATGAAGTCCGTCTCAACACAGTCTTGCCAGTGGAGTGAGAAAACCTGCAGGACGTGGGTCAAAATCAAGTCCAAATTTCAACGCTTAGGCGTTGCGGTTACATGACTACAGCACACTTCGACGGGGGAAAACGTCAACAACTGGAGAAGCGAGTCTGGGTGGATACACGCAGATTGTCATACGCTATCTTGCACGATCCTTTGATCGATTCAGCTTACGGCCCGGGACATCTTTTAAAAAATTGCATCAAATCTCGGTAACTGGAGCCTGCAACAGCATGAAACTGGGCGCGTGGCGCAGATAAATATATCATCTGCAAATATTACGCGAATCTAGCGCTGCTTAGTCCATGGCTGAACCAGACGTGGGCAGGGAAGGTACCAACACAATATTTTGCGGAATTGGTATGGAACAAAACACCCTGCGGTGTGAACTGAGAGAGGTCGGACAACGAAAACTCCATGAGTGGGGTCGCCAGTTCCTGTCGCCAATACCCTCTCAAAAGATTCGCGTACTTCGCAATATCTCGGCCAGTCATGCAGGATATAACAGCTAACAATCTCGTTTCATGTCGTCGGCGAAGATTGTCATTCTTCGCTAGGGTCAAAAGGCCAGTCGATATTTAACGCAAATGGTAGTGCACCACTCTCTTAAAGGTAATGAAACGTGCTATTCCAACACACTGGTAATGCACACGCGCAGGGGTGTCACTTTCTAAAGTTGGTGAGTGGACCCAGCCGAAAAAGCTGGTCTACAAACCCCAAACCTGGTATTTTTCCGAATTGTGGCAGCTCAAATTACGTCCTCGATGAAAAAACAAGCAACAAAATAATATGATAATAAGAAACAATAAAGTCTAAAGCAAATAATGATAATGATACCAGAGCTGATGTGTTTTTAAAGGACTTAAAGGCGCATTGGCTGGGGGGGGGAGCTAAAGTTGGCGTTGGGAGAGAGGCTTAGGCCTCCGAAAGTATATAAAGTGCCCCTGTCCATACGAGTGGTGTATCAAAGGCGACCGGGTCAATTCACCTATATTTTGGGGTCAGTTACATGGCAAAAATAATTACGTATGGTGTCATTTCACGTGTCCTGCGCTGCAGAAGATGTGTCGCGGGTTGATAAAATTAAGTGGATGTAATTAAAAAGATGCATCAAAATAAAACTTGAATTAAAAGATGGTACCATGCCTGACTTTTGAGCCACCCACACGCCAAATGTTTCGTTCATACCGAAGACTACGCTAATTTTGGAATGAACATTTGGATCCTCTCAATCGCTTCTGTCATTTCATGTGTGTTACAAATGCGGCCTCATCTGTTAATGCAAACTGACAGAACTATGTAGGCTGTTAAGTACATTTGCGAGGAACATTATCCACATGGATAAGACAGTAGTAATACCCTCGTTCGTCAGAAGCAAACCAGGGGAATGGAGATATAGACGCATTGATACTTCGGCAGTATGCTTTCATCGAAACCATAGCAGAAGTGAATTCCCTTTTGCTGTTGTTTCGATTGAGGTATGTTGCCGAAAAGTCCACGCATCTACATCTCCAGTCTTCTGGTTTTCTCAGGTCAATGAGATAATAACTACTGCCTTATCCAACTGACACGACTGTTGAGATTGATGTTAATAACCTAATCTGATGCTCCCGAGGAAGCAATGTGATGAGAACTGCTGAAACAGACATCAGGAACAGTCTAAGCTAAAAAGAAAAACTGCGCTCATCTCAGAGAAGTTCAAGAGGTGAGGTACAGCCTTACACGTGCTTGGGTGTGGGGGGTCAACTCGGCCCACCAAAGGTTTTTCCAGAATGGTTTCCGAACGGCGCGGTGCAGCCCCGCCAAATATTGGCATAGCTGTAGACAATTAAATGGTGGATCTTTTGGCATCAAAAATTTAGATGTACCTTGTAAGGTCGCTGACCTAAGGCAGGTCAAGTTCAGGCCATGGTTTCAGCGAAGCCAATTTCTAGGGAATCGTTCAATCTGATGCAACAATGGCGTGTTTAACGAAGCCATACATCTCTGAGATACTTTCGTAGGCAACAACAATATTGAATGAGCCAATAACGATTACCTAAGTTTAGATATGAAGGTCAGACCAAGGTCAAAACCAACCTGTTTTATTACTCTGGGGCTTGCTGTATGAGGTAGTTTCTGGTGCCCATTTCGAATCTTGTGGTAGCAGGAACCGAATAATGCATCTTTCATTGGCTTCTTAGAGGTCAGAAAAAGTAATTGACCAAGATGAACTGGGTCAACATTTTGTTTTATGAGCATACTGCCTAGCGTAATCTTTACCGCTCATTTATATGCAAAACTCAGAGCAGTCTTGTATGATTTTGGTCACCATGACCTTCAAAAGGTCATAAAAGGTCACTGATCTCAAATGAGCGCGTGGCCTTATGCTTAGAAACAGTTAGCTAGGTTCTAGGGCACTTTGGGGGCCAACCCGGAAATTGACCTTGTTTGACATTGTTTAACCCGAACGTCATAACCTAGGAATCTCAAACTTGAACACAAGTGAGTTCACGTACAGGCCAACATACTCTGTGAATTTTGTGTCTATAGCTCCGTTAGTGTTTGAGATCTCATAGTCATCAACTTGACCCCACACCCGAGCAAATGGTGCCCAGCCGGCCATGCGGACGCGTGTTAAAGAACCGCGAGATGTTCAGCTACATCGCATTTGCTTCTGGCCCTAATGGAGTTCTCTCAGTTCTCAGGCGCCATGAGGGCTTCGGCTGTCATTGGGTAGGCAGTGCGGTTTGAAACCCACTCAAAGACCTAAGAGACGGACGAAATACTGACAAAAGCATGCTGGATGTTGATACGGGCGGATCTAGAATGCCGTCTCCAGGATCAGCAGCGCTGGCTTGGGGGCAAAGTCCAAATAGGTGTCCGATTAAGCAAAACGCATCGATATCAAGCCTCGCTTCTCTTAACCTCAAGGAGTGTTCTAAAACAAATTTTCATGGTTAGAGCTGCTCAGATTACCTTCCAAGTCCAGAAAAGTGTCATTGGTCGTCCGACTTTGGCCAGCTCGGGGGGTGGGGTCGTGTACTGTTTGCACTTCGCCCCGAATCTACCACTGGATGTTTAGCTAGCCTTTTTTAGCCCGGGCCTTTCTGGCCACCACACCAACATGCCTCTAGTTCGTGCAAACTCTGCACGGTCAGCTGTTGTAGGATCGCATCCAGTACGAGGAGCTTGAGGTTTCGCCCTTTACAAGCCGATTTTGACAGGAAGCTCTCCCAATCATACACAGTAGATACCGTGCTTACGGAAAAGATAACCGGTTGAGGACAGAATCTCGAAAAATAACGTTATAGCCCGATTGCCTGTTAATGGCAAAATATGCAGTTCAAATCTGCAGAGAAAACAACACTTGGGATAGCCCAGGTTGGCGGGCCCAGGGTGATTTTGGACCTGGAACCGATTTTTCAGAACTACTTCCCTGCATGCTGATGGTCAAAGCGCGGTCTAACATAAACTGTGTTGACGGATCGCTGAATATGATCAGCCCTTGTTCCAGGCAGTCCGTCGGGAGGTCGCCAAAAGTTGGGAGGTGGGAGGGAGGGGAGGGGGGGGGGGGCCTGGCCAAGCTCCCTAAACCACAACTATCTCTCAATCTCTCAGTCAGTCCACTTTCCCTATCTTCCAATGCACGAAACTTCAGGACAGACGTCAGACATTCAGCTTCGTCCCGTATCAGTCCATGCAAGTTAACTGGACAGTTCCTACAATCATTTCTTAAATTGCATTTCGTAAAATCGCTTCATTTTAAACCGTTCGAGGGTATTTAAAGACGGACGCCCTGCGAGACCGATAATCATGGAATTTCAATCGGCAGTCTCGCGCCTGAAGAGACAACTGAGCGATTCGATAAGCACGTAACCATTTGGCTACGAGATACGATTTTCCCTAATAAAAGGTGAACGGAGATGTCCATGTTACGACAAGGGGATCACCCTGCACAGCTATTTCAGTAGCCTATGTTTCGCAGGTGCCCGACTTTCTGCGCGAAAATTCACCCTGACAAAAGGGTGCACATTCATAGTTAATCGAAGAAAGTCGTTGAATTCAGATTCATCTATGGATCGGATCCGAGGCGATGAAACGTCTATTTACACGAAAGAATTTACGAAATACAAAAGCACTTGCGCGATTCTCTACTTTTTGCCCGAAATAGTGCCTCTGAGCACGATACTAACGGTAAATATGCGACCAGCGTGAGCACTTCACACGCTCCCGCAGCCTGCCGCTCATCA